GAAATCGGCAGCAATTCCTACTCGTCCGGAGGGGTGGGGACGTAAGGCAGAGTGGTGTGGGGCTGCCCGAGGGGATGGGAGAGGGTCCGGCCCACGCTGCCGCCTGGGCTGGGACTGGTCCCGCCTGCGCAGGGTAGCAGGAAGCTCTCCACACACTCACCGGACCTGGGCTAGGACTGGGTCTGGGGGTTCCCGGAAGTGGTCCTCTGGGTAATTTCTTTCCAAAAGGAAAATAAAGGAAGGAGGAAATCCACATAAGCTAAATATGCTAGGGTCAGCAACACATCCTAACGTTGGATCCTCAAAGCCGCTCCAAGAGACCCTATCCCTGATGTCTGGAGCAAATAACATGCGCAGAAAGGCTGAGGGCTTGTCTGAAGCTAAGCCACTGAACACAGCAGTGCTGGGGATGCTGTGGTGTGCTGTATTTCAAGCCTGGATTTAGGGATGCTAGCAGGGTTCACAGCCCTTTATACGTACAGTAATGTACGTCCGGTGCGCGTCAGCTGCTACGCGTTTCAGCTTGAGGCCTTCTTACTCTGTCTCTATTGATTTCCACCCTTATTTCTGTTATTTCTTTCCCTTTGGGGCTTGACTTTCTTAGGTAGCTTGTTGGCAGTGAGCATTAGGAATCAATTTCAATGATCCTCCCCTGTGACATATAGATTTTAAAGTCTACATTTCTCTCTGAGCCCTATTTTAGCTGTTTCTAGTAAGAACTACTATGCTATATTTTATATTATTCCGTACCAAACATGAAAAACTTTTCCCTTGGGATCTTTTTTCCCCTGTGGTTTATTTTTGTTTCTTATTATTTTTTGTTTTTGCTGCTTGAGACACTATGTAGAGCGGGCGGGCTTGAGCTCACCGTGGAGCCCTCACCGGCCTTGAGCTCAGCAATCCTCCAGCCTCTGCTGGATTAAGGTTGGGTTTATACACAGACACCACCATGCCTGGCTTATTTTTTTTCCTTAATTTCCAATTAAAAAAATATCACTTATGTATTACAAGTGCCTGTTGTTTATCCATTGTTCCCTGCTGTCTTTGTTTTCTTTCAGAGTTGTTCAGAGTCTTGTCCTGCCACAGCCAGTGCCTCATCTGGGGGCCTGCTTCTTTTACCTGTCGTTTCTGCTGGCTATTGTCTCATTTTCTGTCTCTCTGTATGTCTCTTGTTGTGGATCTTCGGCAATCAAAGTGAAGGAAATACATTATACGTGTATTTTTTTTTGTTGTTGTTTTCCTCCGAATGCCCTCAGGGCTTGTGTGGCTGGCTGGAGAGTTGTGGGGATCGAACTAGAGCCAGCTGAGGCTGACAGCTTGGTGGAAGCAGCCACTTAAAGAATTGAGCTAGGGCCAGGCCCCCTATACGTGTATTTTAATAGCGATACAATATACACGTACTATTCTTCCTCTGAGTGCCTGTGCTTTCCTCTGCCAGGCAGCAGCCTGAAGTGGCACTCAGAAAGCAGCTGGGGTCACGGCAGGCCGGCGTGTGGATTGGCCTTGGATCTCTCGTAGCGGGAGATGTCAAGTGTTGCCCAGCCCCAGGCCTTGGCAGAAACCTTCCCAGCCTCAGCTACCTCAGGCTTCCTGGGAGTTCCTTTCCCTGTGAGGCTTTCTGTTTAGTCCAATCCAGGCAGTCCCAGCCGCCTTCACTTCCATGGAAGTGGTCTTTCCTCTCTGCACTCATAGTCTAATTATTTCTACTTACTTTGTCTGCACCGGTATTTCTTTAATTTTCTGTTACTTATAGATGATCTGGTTTTTGTCCCAGAAGCTGCTTGGCAGTACTGGCTCCACGCCATCTACTCAGTTGCGCGCTGGAAAAAAAAAAAAAAAAGTCCACCAGCCACCCTAAGTTTTAGTAAATGATTTAAAATTGAAGGTAGGAAGAGATTCCACTCACACTTTTCTGGGCACTTGTCCTTGCTACCCCACTCCTCCGCTTTAGCAGTCTTATTTCTAATTTAAAAAGAAATGTATCTATTCTGATCATATAGCCCTCTGTTAAGTAGTTAGCTGACACTCACCGATTATATCAATTTGAGCTGCTGAAATCTGAGATTCCAAAATGAAAACTGTGGCTACCAACATTCACCTAGGACAAGATGTGGACCTCAACTGCTCTGCCTTGCTGATTGAAGAGGACCTTCTCTACTGGAACTTCCAGAAAGAAAATGGAGCAGAGCCTAATGTGCACGAAGACAACAGATCAAGCTCTTGGTATGCATCTGTGACACATGGCAGGTATCGTGGTACATATAAAGATCGCGGCATCCACACGTGATAGGAAAGGTGAAGAACTCCCCAGTGGCTGATGCGGTGTTTCGAGTTCATTTGCATTACACTGTATACATTTTCTCATTAGAACTGCCATCCTTCAATTTTTTTTTTTTTTTTTTTTTTGCGGAACCGGGGATTGAACTCAGACCCTTGCGCTTGCCAGGGAAGCACTTATTCCACTGAGCCATCTCCCCGGCCCCCCATCCTTCAATTGATGATGCAGACATTACCAAGTTCTGAGCTAGTTAGAAGACCCACGCAAAGGTTCATGGCCCTTTTTATCATCACCTTATAAGAGCAGACCATCGCTGGTTGTGACGTAAGTGGCAGGACTTTGCCAAGCTTCTTGTAAGGAGCAGCTCTCTAGGCCACAGTCCTTGCACTACAAACAGTGTGCTAAGGGCTTTATTTTTCCTCCCGTACCGCCCAAGTTCTGAACAACACACACTGGTGCCTAACTAGCCTACGTTCTTCCATTAAGGCACGTGCAGGCTTAGGAAAACGGACTAAGCAGATCGCCGTTTAGTCTTTTCTGAGTGGCACTGGGTCCTACTGTAATGGTTGACTGCTGTTCTTAGTTTGGGTTTTGAGGCACCGTGTTCCTCCCCTGTACTTCCTGATTCTCCCTGGCTGTTGGCTTTTCCATGGTATGTTCTTTGCTGCCACCATGGCGTCTCCTGACTCTGCCACTTGTGCAAGGGGTCCGGCCCATGCAGCCCAGACAGCTGCTTAGCGCCTGGCAGTTACCGGGCTCAGTGAGTGGCCTGGATGTCCATTGGCGGCACTCTTCCCTCAGCAACTCGCTTCCATCACCGTTTTCCACCCCCTTCTACTGGCCTCCTCTCAGGAGGGTTGGAGACAGCTCACAGCTCGTGCAGAACCTCAGCCCAAGCTGCGAGAGCAGGGCGGGCTCTGGCTTTGGACGCACAGCTGATAATACCACCCGCTGGCTTCTCAGAGCACCGCTGCATCTTGCTTCCGGATTTGCAGGGGTTTCAGGGAGCTGACCTTTCCAGACAGGCAATCTGTGCACAGAATTGTGCTCTGAAAGGTTCTGAGACAGCCAGAGGCTGACCAGGTCCTCATCGCATGTGCTTGAGACAGCAGGTGCCAGGCAGAGGGGCCCATGGGTGCATACCTGCTAGCCACTGCCACGGCCCCTCCCGGCCGGCCGTCACTGCCTCAAACACGAGTATTTGTCTTACATGAGTGGTGAAACCACTGGCACCTGGGAGGGGTGGGAGGGGCCTGCTGCCAGTGGCTGTCCCAAGCTATTTCTGATGCCAGCGTAGCTGTCCTCTATTTGAGTATCTGAGAATGACCATCTTTTTCCTAAGGCTGAACAGAAGAGAAGCAGTCGCAGGGACTCCTTGGACACACTTGGCGTGCATCTGTGTCTATGCTAAGAACTTGGAGCTGCCGTAGCTCACGTCCCATGTGCTCCCCAGGTGCCTGCACCAGCTTAATCCTCAGTGCTAAGGGAGTAGAAACCTGCACCCGCACTGATGTTGGGGGAAGGGCTGTAGAGAGTGTTTAGAGTGGACTCGTCATGAGGGTGGAGTCCTGAGGCTGAATTCTTGTGGGTTTATAGGAAGGGGCAGGAAAGAGCCCACAGATAGAGGTGCACACACCCTCACTGCTCTGGCGCTGCAGGGATCCTTGACCCGGGCGCCTGCTGCTTGGATTTCAGCCTTCAAGACTGTGAGCTACGTACACTTCCTTTCTCTGCAAAGTAACCCATCTCACGTATTTCAGTATGGCAATGAAAGCTGCTTAATATAGCAAGCTTGTCACCATTAATGGAGACTGCACTGTGGAAAGAATCCCAAGCAGTCAGGTGGGAAGGGGTAGGAAAAATAATTGAGAGAGAGAGAGAGAGAGAGAGAGAGAGAGAGAGAGAAAGAGAGAGAGAGAAACAGGGGAGGGGGAGAGAGAGTCAGAGAGACAGAGAGAGAGAGAGACAGAGACAGAGACAGAGAGAGAGAGACAGAGAGAGAGAGAGAGAGAGAGAGAGAGAGAGAGAGAGAATTTTCTAGTGTTCTCAGCCTCCTGCCTGTTTTCCTTTCTTTGCTGCTGAGACGCAGTCCCAGCACCACAACTAGGAGGATAAGAGGTTTATGTTGGCTCAGTCTCCCGGGATTCAGTCGGTTGCTGCCAGCATCGAGGCACGGTGCCATGGTGGGAAAGCCAGCACAGCAGCGAGGTGCTCAGACCATGCTGCCAGGAAGCCAAGAGGGAAGGGCGGAGCCAGGCCGGGCGAAGGCTTGCAGACCATGCCCCCAGGGACCCTCCTCCAGCCAGGCTAAGAGCACCTTCAAGCCCCAGAGGCAGAGAAATCTGCTGATGAGCACAGTTCCCTATGACCTGCCCCATGACCCATTGGCCTGAAAGCCTTAACGTGAGGCTTGAGGTGGAGGTGGGGGTGAGGGGTGAGGGTGGGGGTGGGTGGGGGTGGGGTTGCTAAGTCTAAGCCCTGATAGAGGCGTTTAAATTCTGAGTAGTTGACAGGCTCTCCCAGGTGTTTCAGAAGGCTGTCTCCGTTGCTCTGTTGTCTAATGTTCCACCGAGCAGCAGGAGGGCTACCTTAGAAGCAGGCCCAGAAAGGGAAGCTCTAGGAAAGCCGAGTGGCCGCCGCCTTGGAAGATCTCACAGGGCTCCCCACTCAGGACAACCTCGCAAGTGACACAGCCTGTCTCTAAATTCTTTCCTCTCCCCCAGGACGTTAGAAGGCAAACCATATGCTTCAAAAATCCTGAGAATTCAGAAAATTAATGAAAACAATCTAAATTTTTTATACAATTGTGCTGTGGCGTACCCCGGAAGCAAAGATATCAAAAGCTTCGTTTTGTTGAGAAAAGGTACGCGTGTTTTGGGCCTGGGCGTGTGTGGAGCCGTAGCAGGCAGCTGGGGGCCATGCTGGAGATGGCCAGGTGGGGTGCACCTGGGGCCCAGGAAACCGCAGGTGGGGCTGGGGCTCTGCCCTGGCTGGAACCCTGTGCTCGTGATCCCAGCTGGAGAAGGAAAGCTGAGCTTAGGCTCTGCCCCACGAGAGAATGGGAACCTGGGGCTGAGGCCGAGCACTGGGACACAGGTGCAGGAGCGACGGGCGCAGGGGAGGCAGGGGGCGACCTTCGCACCCGAAAAGGCAGAGGGATTTTGCAGATGGGTGTTGGGTAAGCCCAGGGTGGGGCTCAGTGGGCCCAGGGGTTTGGTCATCCTTTCCACAGAGAGCCCCTGGGGCCCCTTCCCTGGAAGCCCCTGGACAGGGCCTGTGGACATTCAGTGGCCACTAACCTGTGGGTTCTTGACATTTCCCATGATGACCCCTTGGGGAACCACACGCTGGCTCATCTCTGTCCTTTCCGCACCACCAGCCCGGGTTCCATGGTGCAGTGGCCTCTCAGAAGTAGCCAAGTCTGGGCCACAGTGTCCACCTCCCTCTCTGCTCATCCCCGGGCATGGTCACCAGCTCCTTGGATAGAGAGGGGACAGAGATCATCTGAGAGATGAAAAGGGAGAAACAGACAAAGCAAAACAGACACACAGAGAGACAGACATGGAGACGTGAGAGAGACAGGACAGACAGAGGGAGATAGAACCAGAGACAGAGAGGGAGCAGAGACAGAATACTAGCGCAGATGAGAGAGAATCAGTGTAAGACGCACAAGCGCGCGCGCGCACACACACACACACACACACACGATGGTGCCTCAGTGGGACAGTGGGGACCTGCAGGGCAGAAGCGAGTGTGGGTGCCCGTGTGCTTGTGCATGAGCCTGTGCGCACGTGTGCTGCCCGTGTGCCTGACCTCAAGGGACACAAGAACCCAGCGCCCGGCCTTATTCCAGAGTCACTTGGGAGTACATCAGGTAGCCAGCTCACACCTTGCAGTTCACTGGACATGAAGGACGGATGCAGAAAGTTGCTCCCTACCCCGGCCCAAGCTTGACAGGGGTCAGTGATGCTTCAGCCTAGAAATCAACACCCCCCTTAGAATTTATTCCAACAAAATAAGTAAAACGTGGGGTGTGTCGGCATTTCGGCACTGCATTTGGTTGGGTAAACTGCAGTCTGTCTGAATCTTGGGGTACTGTGAATGATCATTGAGTGGCCTAATGAAATGCTGTTGCTGTACTATGAACAAATGAAAAGTGATTATCATGATATCAATTAAGTAAAAACTTTCGGGTAAAAATGAAACCCAGAAAGGAAATATACTGCCTTGTTAGTATGAACTTTATCGTATTATGAGTTGGTTTAAAAAATTATACTCCCATATAATCTTATATCTCCCTCCAGTGAGCATACGCTGAACCCACATAGGAAATGTTATTCTTTCCCCAAAAGAACAGAAAGTTTGCTAAAATTCTGAGAACTCTGGCCCCGGCATCTGTAACTGCTTCTGTGTAATATCGCAGCCAGCTCTCTCCCACATCAGCTGTAAGCGATATAAGCTGCTTGTATTTCTTCCATTTTACTGAAGAAGGCGCTAAGACAGCAGTGCCCCCAGAGTTTTTCCTAGACACAGACGTGGAACCAGGTTGCAAACCCTGCTTCCCCGCAGCCTGTTTGGTCTCTCTGAGCCACACGCCTCTGTTGCCCTCCTCCCTGCTGAGACTTCTGCCTGGCCCCTCTGCAAGCCCCCTCCTGGGCTTCTGCCCAAAAGTCTGAATGCCGCAGGCATGGATGGCGGAAGACGTCACAGCACTTTCAGCTCAGGTCCGTGAATGTCGCTGTGTATGTTTGTTCCTCATAAATTGGAGTGGAGAGATCAACACCACAGCCTAGCGACAGGAACAGGATGGACTGAGAGGACAGTGGGCGGGTCCCTAGCCAATGCGAAAAGGTGAGGGGACAGCCTCACATGGCAGGAGCAGGCACTGCTGACATCCCACTGGCCAAGTCTTTATTTCTGGTGCTGTTCTGTTTCCAACAGGCATGGCTGACATCCCCCGCCACGTCTTCACTGGAGGGATGACTGTGGCCACCGTGCTCTCTGTGGCAGTGCTGTCCCTGGGGGTCGTGTGCATCATTTATAGAGTGGACGTGGTTCTGTGCTACAGACGCTGGGTGGGCAGTGACGAGACGCTAGCAGGTAATGGGTGCCAGAGTGCTGGGGGGGTTGTCTTGTTTTATGCTGTCATTGCTAAGCCACATAAATTCATCTTTATCTTATTAAGATGAATGTTCTTCATTTTGTTTTCATTGCCTTGTTGACTTATGGGAGAGGCTTTCCATGAAAAGACAACCACATACCGCTGCTTCCTTGAGCAGCGTTGCTGTATGTTCTGTTCTTGTGCTTACTTAGGTGTTGCCGAAGATTGTCCTATAGTTTCAGGAATGTATGTATGTATGTATGTATGCATGTATGTTTCTTGTGGCCCATGTCCTAGATGTGTTGTGCAGTGCCTGAGCCCAGGAACTGGCCACCTGCATGCCTGGCCCACGGCCTTCCCACGCCTTCTCCAGCAGGTGCAGTCAGCCAGCTTGTGTGCATTGCATTGTGGGTCATTGCTGTGACCTGGAAAAGGACAGCGAGTGCTCACTGTAAGAAGCTTGGCGGAGGCCTCAGGGACCCCCCAGTTGGCATCGGTCTCTGTATCCATCTGGTGCCTCTTCACCTCTGTTTCTTATGCTGAAAAGTGGCAAGAAGTCTTTAGGATTCCAGTTGGTCATTAAAAATCAATTGCACATGTTGCACAAGCGGATTTATGTTACACCGAGGGAGCTGCTTGAAACACAGAATTTGGAAGTAATGGTTGAAAAACTAATTTTTGCTAAGGGTGAAGATGTGTCACCTCCCATGCAGATCTGCTCTTGCCCAAACTGGCTGCCCAGTTGACCCAGTAGGGTGTGTCCTCACTGTGGGGAACAGCATGCTTCTGTCGGCGCAGGCCTGTCTGACTTTCGCTGGCCCTTCTTAGTGACAGATAGCAGCTGACCTGGTAGCAAGGACGCACAGAGTAACACAGCAGCAGAAGTGCCGCTTTCTGCCCACCTAGGAAGCCCCACATCTCACAGCAGCCTGAGAATCATGCAGGGGAACTGCTTGCTGATTAATCCAGCCACTGGCTTTATTTCTGTCAGCTTTTGTAGCCTTTGATGTGTGTATGTGTGTGGGTGTCTGCAATTTTTATCAAAATTTCCTATCTTTCATGCATATGCAGCTCTGAAGGGTGGAAGCTTTGGGTCAGTAGTAGGTAGTGTCTTGGACTGCGGACCCACAACACCGTGTGCAGAACGGCTACAAACTGAAAGCAGCTCGCCACAAGGCTGAAGACAGCGCAGCTGCCTGGGTGGTGGAAAATAAATCCCGGGGCACCTAGAGGACCGGGGCCTAGGACGGCTTTGCCGTGTGTTGCTATAAAGGATCACATCATTTCTCCTTCCGTGTGGCCTAGTGTGTTGTTACGAAGGATCACGTCATTTCTGTCTTTCAGTGCAGTAGGAAATCCTGACACTGTAGCTAGGTGTGAAGGGCTGGTTTTGCCGCCTGCCCAGTTGTCGCAGGAGGACAGGCCATCCCCCTCCACAGCTCCCTCTACCCGCCCGGATGAGCGTGGCTTGCATACCCAGGGCCTGACTCATGCCTTCTCTGTGGCAAGAAGTGTCCTGGGAGCTGCCTGCCAGCCCGCCAGGCTATTCTGTTCCTCTGCCTTATTCTTCAGTGCTGCTTTCATCTGCTCTGCATTAGGGGGACCGTGCAGTGGAGCTGAGCTTTGCTGCTTTCCTGTGGCATTCTACACTCACGTGCATGAACTCTCGATCCCTTTTTCTTTTCTTTATCTATATTTTGTGTGTTAGGGAAGGGTCTACAGGGTATAGTGATCTGTCTGTTTACAGCCTCCCAAGAGCTGGGATTACAGACGCGCACCACCGCCCTCTCAGCACGCCTTGGCGGTGGGGCCGGCACAGCAGACCCAGGGATCGAACCCCGGCCCCTGAGCCTGCTTGCAGGTATTTTAATCCGCTGAGCTTTTTGGCCGGCCCTTGCGATTCTTAAATAAGGGCCTGAAAACATTCCCGATTGCTCCGCAGTTAGCGTCTGAGACCTGACAGTGCTGAATTAAACTTTTCTCTTCCAACTTTCCTCCTGCATCTTGACTTCCCTTGAACTTTTCCTCCAAAAGCCTTTGACTTGCGCATTCAAGGGTCCACCCTGTCTCCTAGATGGCAAGATGTACGATGCGTTCGTGTCCTACCTGAGAGAGCGTGGGCCAGGGAGTGGTGAAGAGTACACGTTTGCCGTGGAGACACTGCCCACGGCACTGGAGGGACACTTCGGGTATAAGTTATGCATATTCGAAAGGGATGTGGAGCCCGGAGGAGGTAAGGCGGGGCACCAGCCAGAAACCCAACAGCAGCATTTTCTTTTTCGAATCAGTTGCTTAGCCGTACAAGTGATTCTCATTTTCCCCAGATATAAACAAACAGGGTCCTGGAGACCAGAAGAGACCAGGTTAGTCAATAGCTGGCTGATCTGGTATATAATTAATTATCTGACATAATAAATCATGAGAAAACAAGTGGGCCCTCCCGGGGCCTCCTCATGGTCTCCTGGCTGTCCAGGACGCGGTGTGCATTGCCTTTGTGGGCGTCACCTCTGCGAGCATCTCCTCTTCTGTGCCACGTTCGCAGCCAGCCTGGCTCTGAGGCGCAGACCTGCAAGAGACACCCAGTTAGGGCGGCGGCTCCTCTGCACAGGTCCTAACTTAGTACGTGATGCCGAGGCTGCCACGCAGAGCGACTCTCACTAGAAAGTGCCCTCTCTTTACAGTGTTAATGCTGATGACAAAATTGCAGTAGGAAATGGGGGCACTGGGAAAAGAGGACTGCAAGGGACTTGTTGTGATTCCCAGCCGGTCACAGTCATGGAACTCAGGGTTTTAAAATTGATACATAAATGCAAACGGTCATAGCATTTATATTGAGGCAAATTACAATTTATAAAACATATTACAAGACAATTTACAAGATAATTACAATTACAAGGACATTTATTAACACTTTTCTTCTTGAGGTTTTATAGAGGAAATATTAGAAATGTAGTGTGAAATTATTGCTGAGATCAGTGCTAATAAAAAATAGAAATGACGTCACTGGTTGCCATGGGTTTATTCATCCAATATTTATTGAATACCATCATCCCTCGGCTGAGCTCTGAGCTGAGCACTGAAGATAAAAGAAATATTTTATTTAAGTCAACAAGATAGGAGACTTTCCCTCTCCTGTATTACAATTTACAAAGAGAAAATTTTGCTAATTAGAAAAATAAACTATAGTTTAACAATGAACAACTTCTCAAGTGGAAAAATTATCACACATACAACACTGACATTTTTAAGTGGCAGTTCTTTGTAGATGGTGGCGTGACGTTACTCCTCAAGCTTTGATCCACCGCTTGGCATCAGTTTTACTATAATTACATTATTTTTTTAAGAGTCATCTTAAAATAGGTTTTCTTTTCTTTTCTGAGCTCTTAAATAATAATAAAGACAATTTGCATATCCAATTGTAGCCAGGCTTGGTTGAGCTCTCTGGGGTCTAGAATAGGGGTCCTCCCACTGCCACCCCATCAGATCCGGCTGGTGCCCCTGCTGAATTATCTGCACTCCACAGCGGAGGAGAGTGGAGAGGACAGAGGCGGTGTGACCGCAAAGCCAAAATATTTACTATCTGGACCTCTGCAGAAAAACCTGGCCAACTCTGGTCTAAAACAATGAGTAATGGTGCAGTTTTGGGTGCTGTAGGCTTTTCTTCTTCTTGTTTGCTTTTTGATCTCTAAGTTTTGATTTCAGCATGCTCCTCCATGCGCGTGGGGCCAGATGGTGTGGTGGGTACACAAATGCCCTCCTCTATTTCTGCCACTTCCCAGCTGCGGGCACCAGGGAAGCTTCTCAGTGGTGCTGGCTTGGCATCCTTGCCTGTACAATGACAGGAGGCCAGGCCCAGGCTCACTGTGAGCTTAAGCAAGTTCCTACACAGAAATCCTTCAGGGATGGGAGGGCGCAGGGGAAATTACTGCCACCTTCATCCTTATTTTATATGCATAAAATTGAGGAAAAAGTGGTTTGTCTTACTTCATTAATAAGCTTAACAGCTAAATAATATAAAACAGGGTCATGTGTTAAAGTACCTTTTGTCCTGCGCACCCTTCCCCACTGCTGACACTGACGACTCCTCGTGTCCCCAGCTGCTGTTGATGACCTCCATTCACTGATCCAGAAAAGCCGACGGCTGATCATTCTCCTCAGTAAGAGCTATCTGTCTCACCAAGTCAGGTATGAACTGGAGAGCGGGCTCCACGCAGCCCTGGTGGAAAGGAAGATCAAAATAATCTTAATTCAGTTTGCACCTGTTGGGGATGTCCCTCTCTTGCCGCAGTCTCTAAAGCTTCTGAAGTCACACAGAGTTCTCACATGGAAGGCTGAGGAGTCTCTTTCATACAACTCGAGGTTCTGGAAAAACCTTCTGTACTTAATGCCTGCAAAAGCAAGCAAGGCAGACAGGGATTTGTCCGAGGTTTTGCCGGTGCTTGCTGAAGTGTATTGATATTTGGAACGGCGGAGTATCTCCAAGACTGGTGCTTCTGGGGACAGAGTGAGGGCCCGCTCAGGGCAGACTCTCCTTTGAAACGCTGAATGCCCTACAAAGCCTTCTGAAGGAGGGCCTTGTCTTTAGATCACCAGGGATGAGACTGGCTCTTGAGCTGGTCCTGTGCTTCTGGATGACCCTGGGTTTCCCACGGGCTGCAGCTGGTCCTTTCCCTGGCGGCTGCTTGCACCGTTACTGCAGGCAGCAAGCACAGCGGGGTCCCGGGCAGATGTGCTGCCCAGCAGGCACTACGCTGAGAGCCGCCGGTGCTAGCAGGCCCTTTGGTCTCGGGACTTTACACGCAGGGAGAAGCATTCTCTGTGAGCCGGTGGGTGGCCGTCCTGGGCATGCTGCCCTGCGTCCACATCCCTGGCCCCCTGGATCCTGGTGGGAGGGGGAAAGGAGCTGCGGGGGTGAGCAGGTGCTGTGGCGGGGGCAGACCCCAGGACATGCTTCCTTCTCCTGGCCCCTGCGCAAGGCAGCAGTTCCGGGAGCCCCAAGGAGGCCCAGGACAGAGCTTGCTTATCCAGACCTATTCTTGGGAATCTAAAGGAACCCCCAGCACCTTTGTCTTTCATGAGTGGCCCCAATTTCATTTCAGATATTCTCAATGACTTTCATTTCTAGTGCACTAAAACAGTGATAGATGTCATGTAAATAATTATATTCAAGATGGTGCCAGATCACATTAGCCATTAAATGGAAAAAATAAAAAGAAATGTGCCTGCTTGATTTTTAAAAAAACCTTGGGTCCCAGAAGCCCTGGCATAGAGGCAGCCTGGCATGCTGGCTGAAGTGCTGGGCTGCGCAGCCCACCCCCAGCGTCAGTCTTGCTCTTCCTCTGTGGTCGCCGGGGCCTCATCTGACCTCCCCATGCCTCAGTTACCCCATCTATAAAATTAGAACTTGTAATGGTTGTACCTGCTCCCCAGAGTCTACACTCTGCACTTCCGTAGAACAGTTCTAAGAGCTGTTACTTGCTCCTTCACTGGTAAGGATATTAGTACCAGAATTAATTCTTGCTTGGATCCATTACTTAGCAACAGGCTAAAGAGAAGTCACAGGGCAGGGTGTGGCGGCTCAGCAGCTGGGAGGACAGGCTGCATTTGCAGATGTTTGCCAAGACACTGAGACAGAGCCGCGGCCTCCCATGCAGGCGAACTGCATCCCTAATGGGGCCCGTGCTGTGCGTCTCCAACACCTCGAAGCAGCAACTGGTCAAGCTGACCACAGGGCCCCGGGCAGCAGCCTCCAGCAGAAGGGGCGGTCACAGAGGCACGAAGGCGCCGGCGTGGAGGACCAGTTAGGGGCAGTGGGTGCAGCGTGGATGCACTAGGGGAGTTTAAAGCAGAGATGCAGTCGATTGTGCTAAAACTTCCGGGAGAATGAGATTTCCTCTGCGACAGGGGGATTTAATTTTATAGTGCTTATGATTCGGTGTGCTAATTGGCTGGATTATGAAAATCAATGAAGGGATGGCTTAATAGAATAAGTGCTTCCCTGGCAAGCTCAAGGGTCTGAGTTCAATTCCTGGTTCTGGAAAAAAAAAAAAAAGTCAATGAATTAATATGTATGTTCTATATGTGAAAATTAGAATACAATAAATTTCATTACTGTAACCATCTCTAGCACCTAGAATGATTCTGCTTCCTGTTTTGCTGACAACACAGGCTTTAAAGCACATTAAACACATTTTGTATGAAGTGCACCTCACATTGCCTTAACCGTGTATGTTATAGAAACTTCAGGGACATTGCAGTGCGTTAGTGAATCACAGCTCTTGTGCTTTTATTTTCAGAATGTCTCGTGGCTTCTTTTTCACTCTCTCTAAGACTCTATCCTCTTTCTCCACTTCATTCCAGCCTATTTTAATGGTATATGGGTCACTCAAAATAAATGCCTATACTTGCCATATTTTAGATGTCAAATTACTTTGTGCCTTTAAAAAAAATGTATTTAGTTATTACTGGGACCCAGTCTACAGCTCGGACTTGTGATCGTCCTGCTTTCAACCTCTCCAGCGCTGGGATTACAGGTGTGCACCACCGGGCCTGGACTCTGGGGACCGCCCAGCTCGCAGAGGGCGTGGGGGGCGTGGGGGGCGGGGGACCGAACCGCGGTCCCTGCTTGCCTACGTTTGCCTAAGCAGGCGCTTTAGTCCACTGAGCTATCTCAGCAGCCCAGTGTGCCTTTTTATTTTTTCTTCCACCGAGGAGAAAAGGAGAGCTCCCTCGTTTCTCGCACACCGCGGTAAACACTGGGGCCACACACCGCAGGCCTCCGTTCGCCAGGTGACGAGTGTCCACGTGTTTAAGTTTAAGCGCAAACAAGACCATTTCCAAGCAGGGTCAGTCGACAATATTTTAGGTATTTGAACGTCTTCCTCCCCGACCCCAGATGCCCTTCAACTGGATCAGAACGCGCCGGTGCGCAGCGGAGGAGAACCAGCTGCCCGAGGTTTATCGCTCTTACGATAGGCACTTACTAAACGGAGTTGTACTTACTAAATGGAAGCGGAGAGAAATCGCAAACACGTCGCAGACGCCGGCGCGCGAGACCCGGAGCCGGCGCTGCGGCCGTCTTGAGCCCGTCGGAGCGCGAGGCGCTTTCCGGGCTGGCTCAGGTCGAGCACTGTCTTCTTCCTTCCGCCTGGTGGAGGTGAGCTCGGAGGGCGCTGCTTCCAGGCTGCAGGCACCTTTCTGGGCCACGGTTTATCCCACGAGGCCCGGCCAAGGCCGCGCCGAGGGAAGCTGGCTGCAGAGGGCTGGCCTGGAGCCGGAGTGGAGGAAAGGGGCGCTCGGGGCTCCGGCTGAGTCGCTCGGTGGGCGTGGACGGAATCGCGTGTAGTTAGCGCGGGATGGCGGCATCCTGTGTCTGCAGCCTGCCGTGTCACCGAGGTGGGGACGCTCAGGTGAGTGCTTGTCCTGGGGCGAGGGTACCCGCAGAGGCTGCAGTGGCAAGGACCGAGGGCCGAGGAGGCCTGATTTCCGAGCCGAGGCTGCGCCGGGAGCTGGGCCGAGCCAGGGAGAGGGTGCCCGGGTGGCCAAGCCCCAGATACAATGGGCACCAGCCTGTGTGTGCCATGGGAGCACACGTGTCTCCCACCCGCCTGCCCGCCAGTTCCTGGGGACAGGAGCCTTGCTGGGACCCGTGCCGATGCCCATTTCTCTGTGACACTTCCGAAACCTGCTCCTCCCTCGTTCTGGCCCACCACAAGTGAGGGACCCCCGCCTCCCTAATCCAATTGCTACAGCGTGGTGTGCGCTTGTGTGGGGGTGAGGGTGTTAGTGGAGGTTCGCGCATCGTTCGGGAGTTTAGGGTTCCCCCGAGGAGCCTCTAGGACCATCCTGGGAAGGTAGGGTGGGGGTGGGGTAGGCATCCTTAGGCAGCTCTCCCTCTCCACGCTTTTCTGGAACCAGAGACACGCTGATCTTGCCCACCCTGTGTTGTGGACACATCTGACGTTTTTTTTTTTTCATAGGACAAAATGTACTTTTATTGAGTACTGACTATGTTATGAACACTGTGGTTGAAAAGAAAAGGAGGACACTGGGTGTCCCCCTGCAGGTTACAGAGGAGCGAGAGTCCTGGGCGTGGTGCTGCTCCTCCTTCGCTCTCATGTCCATCCACTCTGATGCCTGTGCATTCTCCTCTATCCAGAGAGCTGTTCCGTATTCTGAGCCTGTGTTTCCCACCAGCGTAGCTGCTCCAGATAGTTCATTTTATTTTAAAGACCCAATCCAAAAATGGGCATCTGAAGTGAATACATACTTCTCAGATAAAGAAACGCAGCTGGCAAATAAATACATTAAAGAAATGCAAATTAAAAAATCATTAAGCTTCTCTTCTGTATGTTTAACAACTAAAGTTTGCAGACCAAAAATTAGAGAAAAAGAAGGGCTAAAAGGACAGCCAATATTTTGGCCCTAGCCCTTTAAGGTCAGCGAGGCTTGAGGACATATGAGGACATAAGAGAACCTGTACTGTAACATACTGTAACTCAGTGGTCTCCCAAATTTTCTGATCAAGGAGATTGTGGGGCCACAGAGGAAAGTGATCAATGATGTAGAGTGTGCCTAAGGAGAGTCACATGGAAAGAAAAATTCTCTCAGGCTTTCACACAGAGCAAATTGGTCAAGCAATGGCTGTGACTCATCCAGATGGCTGACACTGACAAAAGATCCACAAGCTGCTGTACATGGTTTCAGGGTAAGTCCCAAGGGGGATTTGACACTGACCTTGTCAGATATAAAAGTTATATTTTCAGTTATATAGGTCTTGCTATAACTTGGTCTTAACCATCAGCAGAAAAGTATAATCATGAGGTATAAAAAGTAAAGCCATATTAGTATGCTGAGCTGAAAAGACTCAAGTCAGCAACTTCTGACAATTGCCAGTTGTGCTGATAACCCTCTAATATTATGGACTATTGGACTGTATTGGGTTATTTTGCTGAATTCAGATATCTACAATCTTTGGACTGACATCAAGTATGAAAAAGTCCTTTAAAGACTTCTCCAAATACAGCTTCTCTAACAGCAATGGAACACCCATCTCCGGCACAACAAAACTAAAAAGGGGAATATAAATAAAGGACCATTTTGTAGTGAAAGAAAAAAAATATATATATATTAGGATAGATATACAGCTACTTTCTCTTAGTTCAATGAGAAAAAAGATTTGTACTAATATTATTTAGGCAAGAGATCATGTCTGCATCTTGTCCTCTTAATAACTACTATAAAGACAACAATATGCAATGTATTAATTATTGTAACTGTCTTATTAACCTGTTTCAAAACTGTTTCATTGCTATTTTTTCTCATTAAAATGAATAAAAAATTAAAACAAAAGAAATGCAAATTGAAACAATACTGAGATTCCATCTCACCCCAGAAAGAATGCCTATCACCAAGAAGTCAACCAGTAACAAATGCTGGAGGGGCTGTGGGGAGAAAGGAATCTTCTCCAGTGTTGGTGGGAGTGCGATCTGGTTTACCACTGTAGAAATTGGCATGGAGGTTCCTCTAAAAACTAGGATTAGAGGTCCTGTTCAACCCAGCTATTCCTCTTCTGAAAATTTTCCCAGAAGAATTAAAAACATCACAGCACAGTGATATATGCGCACCCATGCGTACGGCAGCACAATTTGTCCTAGCTAAATCTTGGAAACAACCCAGATGTCCATTAACTGCAGAATGGGTAAAAAAAGATGTGATTTTTTTATACAATGGAGTATTACTCATCTATAAGGAAGGATAAACTTGAGACTTTTTTAGGGAAATCATGTGACATTTTGTTTTTAAAAATCCACCACTGAAGATGTCAGGCTTTGGGTGTAATGGATATAACCCTCTCTTACTATTTTAAACACAGTAGTTAATGAATTACTTGGAGAGGTGAAGGGACAGGCCCACTCTAGCTTAGGCTTCCTGTACACCCGGCTAAGTCCCACACTCCCCAGGCTTCCCCCAGGGATGCAGGTCTTGCCACACCCGTGGAGGAACCTATGCAATCAGGGAGCCACAAGCCACTGACCTGCAATCTGAGATGGCTGAGTCACAGGATGGGGTCACCTGGGGCTGTATCAGACCATCTGTGTGCTTACAGCCCAAGGCCCAGAATAGCCTCTTACCTTTCCAATCTCTGCTAGTTGAGAGGACTTTGAAATTACTGAAATCACTTGAGCTACACTTAATCAATAGAGTTGGTCATCAGATTGTCTTAGGTCAAAAAGTAAAATGTGCTGGTAAGTGAAGTGACCTTTTGTCTCAGTTACTCTCCTCTCATTGCTGGGACAAATACCTGAAACCCAAAATAAAGGAAGGAAATATGTGTTTAGGTCACAATTACTGGAGGTTTCCGTCCATCCGTACTGGGCTGCCTCCAAGGCAGAGTGGCACATGACACAGAACAACCTTTCATGGCAGTGGCAAAGAGCAAGAACAAAACGGAGAAGTAGCAGCAACAATGGCCTGGGCCAGGGAGCTAGATCAGTAGAATAAGCGCTTGCCTAGCAAGTGCAGGGTCCTGAGTTCAATTCCCAGTACTGGGGAAAAAAAAAATCAGTCCCTGAAAGTAAAAATAGAACAGATAAACTTAACTATATGGACAAAATGACATCCACACCAATAATTTTAAAGGATGTTAGGCCACAACGTGACCGTATATTCCCATGAAACAATGCAAAATATTTTTGAACTGTTTTTAGAAAATTGTTTGTGTGTTTGTATTATAATTACTCTGAGGCTACTGTGTCTAATTGTGGGATAAACTAAGATAAGGAAGGTGCTGATGTCGCTGGACTGGGATTTCTTTTGTGTACAGACATTATCAGCGTACAATTGGTAAGACAAAGCAAAGCCTGCAGCTCTGAATTGGTATTGTGGTTTCCAGTATCAATTCAAGACTCATTTTATATGTGAGTGTGTGTTTTCTTCTGTTTGTTTGAAACCTAGCAACATTGACGGACCCACTAAGAGTGAGGAAAGCTGAAAGACCCACAGCACGGCCTCTGAATACAAGCCTGCACGGCAAACGAAGCCTGGCCTCACGGAGCGCTGCCCCTGTGAGGCAGAGAAACAAGTACCCAAGGCCAGGGCTCCTTCGCACAACCACGACAACAGCAGCAGAAGGAAATGGTTGAGGCCGCAGCAGCGGTGTGAACGGGCTGAGGCCACCGTGCAAGTGGCTGAAGGTGAAGAGCTCGAGTGCTGGGGAATCGTGTTTAATTTTTTTTTTTTTGAAAGCATCAAAAAGTGAATATCGGTGGCCTCTTGAGGGAAAACGAAATCAAGACTTAATTAGGATGCTTTCTAGGGAGCATTCTTTCATGACTAGTGTGGCCTCAAAGCGTTCTACACATTGCCTGGTTTTAATTACAGTGAAAATTTCAATTATGCACCACATCCTGAAGATTTCTCTTAACACCTCACTGGAAACGAGTACCCAAGATTTAGCCTTTAAGGCTACTTCTCCCCCTGTGTGTCAAAAACTTGCTTCATATAAATGGGGCTGGAGATTCCTTTCAGAATTAAAAAGTCCGTCACCAAAAACCCTTTGGCTTTGCTCTTAAAGGTTATGGTTTGTATGGGGGGTTAATTTTAGAAGAAGAAGAAAAAAAATTAAAACACCCGGCGTTAAGAAACTGAGTGCTAACTGCACAGGAAATTCCTGTGAGAGAAACGGGCTCTCTCATCCTTCCGACTAAACCCAACCGCAGACCTTTTCTCATCAGGGAGGTTTTACCAGAGAGCATAATAGCAGGCTTATCTGCTGAACACTTCCTTCTGTGGAGAGACAGAGTCAATTTGACTTTCCCTGACAGGAGATCGGATTGCCCAGTGTCAGGGTCAGGCGAAACTCATCTCAGGTCTGTTTTTCCTCCCCAGATACAACTCATGTTCGCCACACAGTGTGAGTCAGACTGTTGGCCACACTCATGCAGGTATCTCCCTGGCCTGGAGGAAATCTGGCAGAAGTCTTTGAAAAATCCCCTTTCCTTAAGGTTTCCGGCAGATTCAAAGGCCGGAGCTGTTGACGTAAGGACTGGAAGCCAGCTTCCTCTTTTTTATGTCTAAAGAACAGGAAATAAAGGTAAGACAAGAGTACATTTTCCTCTCACTTCCTGACTCGAAAGCTAAATTACGAAAGGAGCTTAAGTACTTTTCAAAATGAGCTGCTAACACGAACATTGCTCACGAGGTGTCTGGGGACAGCCAGTGTGCTGTCTAGCTGGCAACATTGGTCTTCATTATGAAGCCGTCCCTTATAAAAAGATGGCATAAGCTTAATTTTCTGCAGTGCTCTGAGCATTTTATGGGACAGGTTCAAGGGCGAGGGTTCTGGGATGTTCTCCAAGCCCCAGTGAGCACCTAGACTGGTGTCACATCTTTGGTGTCAGGCTGCAGCATTTTTTTCTTGTCTCTTGACAATGAGGTTTCAGGTTTGCACAAATCCTGTGAGAATCGTAGTATCAGCTCACACCGGAGCCCGCCTCCATTTGTATATATATTTTAGGCTTGTGCTAAGAGTGAGCTTTCTCTTTCTGGAACCCAGAATTGCTTTATTTTCGATTTTCCACTCTCTTCCCATCTAAGGCTTTAGTCAGTGAAAATTGTAGTTTTCTTCCCGTACGTAATAGGCTTGACTAACTGCAGATGATGGCTTCATTGTGTGACAAAAGAAACTGGATCCCCTAAAAGTACATCTGGAAAAGGATTTGGGGAAAAGGACCCTGCAATTCCTGAAGCTATCCTGGTGGCTGTCCCCTCCTTTGGTGACCTCCAGCACGTGGTAACAGTGAGACCGGAAGCCTGGAGATGCTTAGGGTCTGGGTGTGACCCCTCCTGCGGCACGAAGCAGGGTTGTCACGGCCCCTCTGCTCCCAGCAATGTCAACTGAGATGGTCCTCTGGTATGTGAGGAAGACAGTCAGCCCGGCTTCTCCAGGTGGCCAAGGCGCTATTCCACGCCCCTGCTCTGTCCTTTCCATCCACTGAGCAGAGCTTCTAGCCCGGTTTGGTTCAGATTGTCCAAAGCCCCACTCCTTGGCTCCTTGGGGTTCCTGGATGCCCTGTGGAGTCTGTGGGTTGAAAGGCACCACTGGGACATCAGAGGACCAAGGGAGGGGGACCCTGAGAAGCAGGCTGGGCAGGAAGTAGGGCTCAGCAACGGACCTGTCCTCTTGCTGTCCAGGGGCCAGCAGTGATGAAAACAGCTACCAGCCCCCAGCTCAGCGCCCCTGCTCTGCTGAGCAGCCCCCGCCCTCACCCCTTGTGCACCCTGGTGGCTGTCTTGATACTGCCCTCTGCTCTCCTTGGGTCTCCAATCGAGGCTGTCCTGAGGGAGCGTGTGAATACACAAGTGCAGCCAGTAATTCTCTTGCCCTCTGCCACCCACATAATTAAAAACAAAACCAAAGACACTGTCCCAGGGGATCGCTGTCCCTGGGTCTCACAGCACATGTCATGGAGATTCATCTGCCTTCTCCTGAGGCCGGGTGGGGTGGTACCGCTTTCTGCAGGTCGGGCCTGCGATGTGGAGTTGCAGCATGCTGCCGCCAGCGGGGTCTTAGCTGTCTCCCACTCCTGTGGCTCACGGGTCGGGGAGTTTGTCATTGTTGATGTTACAGTAACAGATTTCTTGTTCAAGCCCCAGAAGTTCTGCTGCTCTACCTAGGGCTGAGGTGGAGAGACTGCTGATAGAGCACAGCTAAGCGGATTTGGCAGCTAAAACTGCCCCCCAGAGAACCCAAGTGACTCGCCTGGAGGCGCACAGCTGCCTTGAGAAATGTATATGCATTTTTTTAAACTTCTCCTGAAATGTTTTTCATATATTCAGTCAACAGAATTGAGTTTTATTTTGTCAGGCATTGATTTGATTTTGGAAACAAGATCCCTGTTCAGAGCTCCAATGTGCTGAGAGAGGGGAACTGGACTATCAGGGTCCCAGGGCAGTGGAAACAATTCTAACAGAGGGTCCTGGGCTCCTGTCCTTCCCTTTCTGGCTCCTGCAGAGGGCGGCAGGGCCCCATGGGTGTAGTCAGTCCCTGCAGGTATAGAGCCTCTGACCCTACCCAGGACAAGTTGAAAGGCATCACTGGGACATCAGAGGACCAAGGGGGGGCGGTCACAGCTTATGGTGTGTGTGAGAGGCCTGGTCACTAGTCTGCCAGAGCCCTGGGGATGCCAAGTGGGCAGCTTTCCACCCCAAGCACACCACCAGCCTTGGTTCACGGCTGTTCAGCTCACCTGTTCTCCTGACCTGGACATGCTGGGGACATGGCATGTGAGGGCTGGGAAAGAGCTGGAGACAGTGCATCCATGAGGCAAGAGAAGCCAAGTGTTTCTTTCTGAGAATTAGGGAGGTACTTGGAAAGAGAGGTCCTGCAGAGCCAGGCTGGGGAGAGAGGCTGTGGGGCAGCTAGAGAACATGGGAAAGAAGGAGTGGGAGCACCCCGGGGCTGGACAGAAGGATGTGTGCAGGAGCCAGAGACAGATGGGCAGGGAGACCGGAGATAGCAAAGAACAAAGATTGAAAGGAAGATACAGACTTCGTGGGATAGAGTGGTCAGGAAGGGTGCAAATATTGAAACAGAAAGAGGAGAGAGAGAGAGATTTTGTGGCCTTCCCAGAAAGTACAGGTGCTGGGGAGAACAATTTTAAAAGGCACTTTTAGAGAGAGCATATGATATTTAATGCAATTCTCTCTTCCCCCTCTCCTCCCCTCCTCGCCCCTTCCCTCCCTTTCTCTCCACTCTTCTCCTTTATTTGCTTTTCTGTTATCCGTGGACACTGTCCCCTGCACACAGCACAGCTGCTATCCTCCTGTCAGGTGCGTAAGGTCTGTGCCCCGGCCGGCCTCTGGCCAGCTCCTGGTGCTGGCTCCTCTCTGGGCCCCACCTTGGCACCTCTGGTCCATGAAGCAGATCTGAGCCGATCTGCCTCGTCACCCCCACCCTTGGGACCTGGTTCCCTCCACACCTCTGTCCTGCCTTTCATGCAGTAGTGAGGAGCCTGACCCTTGATTCCTCTGTGACAGCCCCACCGCCTTGGCCCTCAGCCTGCTGCCTTGGTGGGCGGGGTGGGGTCTGACATCTCGGCCCTTGGCAGGCATCTAGAACAAACTCTTGCTCACTCACCTCTGTAACAGTGCAGACTAGCTCAAGCTGTGAGCCTCACGGCGCAGTGGACCCTGGGGACAGGGTCTGTGTTACCCCCGCACCCTCTGAGCTCGAGATATTCAGAGAATGTTTAGGGGATCTTCTGGCCAAAGTTCAGGGGACTCACTTCAGTCCTAAAAACTCAAGAGCAAGACAGCGGTTTGCACGATACTGGCAATAATTCTTTGAAAAACAGACAAAACTGGCCTATTTTGTGCTCAACTTTAATGCCTTGTTTTCTGCACAAACAAAATTGCACAATAATCCAGCATTACTGATACCATATTCTTGTCTCCAAGTGCTCGTGAGAGGTAAAAGTCCCACAGCATGCACAATAGGTATTGTGAAATGGGAGGAAATTGCTCAGAAGGGAAAAGGAACTGGGACAGGGGAGGAGGAAAGGAAGGAAGGGAGAGCCAGAAGCAAGTGCAAGGTAGTTACAGCGCCGGCTTCTCTCAGTTCATTGAAAAGAAAAGATTTGCACTAATATTATTTGGAGGATTTTTTTTATGCCCATAACTTGTACTTGAACTGTTTTAAAGATAACAATACTCACTATATTAACTACTATTATTTTCCTATGATTTTGTTATGAAATTTTGTTTTACTTCTTTTCCATAAAAAAATAACTCCCACAGTAAAAGGGCAGGGTGCCCCAGATGCAGCTCGGGTCTGCCCTGGGGGTCTCAGGTGAGGTGGGGACATTTGTGACACCCCTGCCCCCCTCTGCCCTCCTCTCCAGTGGTGACAAAGAGCTCCCAGCTGGACCACCCTCCTCGCCCCAGCAGCTCCCTGCCAGCCGTGCAGAGGATGCCGTTCCTGTCACCGTGGGCGGCCTTTTCAGGGAAATGTAAGCTTAACTTTCCCCACCTCATTCATGAAAATACATGCAGTGGGTGAGAATGCTACAAGAAAAAGCAAGGGAGTTGTGTGCATGGGAAACCGCCTCAGCAGACCTCCCTGTCTCTGTGTGGTGGAGGCCATGGGTGCCGGTTTTGGGGTGCCCTCCTCTGGGGAGCAGGCAGCGGCTCCCAGGAAGAGCCGCTCCCCCTGCCGGAGACCTCGAGCCCAGGCGCGAGCGCGGCGCCGCTGTTGGCAGGCCCCGCAGAGCTTCCTGTGTGACTTACACCTCGGTCACAGGCTCGGATTTCCCCATTTCCCATTTTAGAAATGACGAGGGTGCCCCGGAGAAGGTTCCAACTCCTCATGCCCTCCAGGCTGGCGACAGGGAGTGAGCGGCGAGCACCATGCTCCCGTGGGGCTGGGTATTTCTTTGGCTCCTGGGCAGACAGCGGACCGGAGGCTTGAGCACGGCAGGTAGGACTCTCGCTTCTCCCTCTCCACCCAGGGCCTGCGGGGGGAAGCCCGAAGCGACAGGTGACCCGAGAGATTAGCAGCAGGGGTGGCGCGTATTTGTATGGAGCATTTCCTTCCTGTTGGGGAGGGGGAGTAGGAGGAGACAGATGCCCCACACCCCACGCCCCACACCGCGGGGAGGGGAGCCTGGCCCTCGAAGCCAGCGTCTGTGGGGCCCCAGAATAGGTCCCCGGAGGCGGGAAGCCAGGTCCTGGCCTCGCTGTGGTCGTGCGGCTGGTGAGTCCCTTCGCTGCGCAGCAGCAGGCTCGGGGCGCACACAGCTTCTCCCTGACGCCCTTGCCCCTGGCACATGGCCTTGGGTTCCCTCTTCTGATGTGCTTCTGAGCTGCTTTTTGTATTGTGGTTTTCAGGCTGTCCCACCAAGAAACTCCTCTGGACATACTCCCCCGGAAAGGAAGAGGAGTTTGTCTTATTCTGCCACATCTCAGGGCCATGGAGGTCATGTTTCTCCCATGAAAATCAGTGCAGCCCGACGCAGAGCCCCAAAGCCCTGCCCTGCAGGCATCAAGGGGACCTTGCTGAGGTCCGGTGGTACCGGCAACATGGGGACGTGGGACCTCTGGAGGAGATTGCTGGAGGCCACCCTCACATCACTCCGAACGAGAGCATGCTTTACTTCCGTACCCCGGAGTTGGCCGAGCCTGGCACATATATTTGTAGAGCCCGGCTTAGGTCAGTCCCAGATGCATTCCTACCCCAAGCACCCACTTCTCTGTGCCTGAGGGAAGCGCCTGTGCTTACAGGACTTGCGTCTCTCCTAGGAGTGCCCCAAGGGTGGACGTGCCTTGCTGTTTCAAGACCGTGCTGGATGTGAGGCCTCAGACTGAGGCCCCTTGCAATGCCTCTGCGCCCCACAAGCAATTCCTGCTTCTTGGGACCATGGGCTCAATCCGCTGTCCCCGACTCGGCTGCCAAGCGGACTCACACAGACCCGAAGTGACCTGGTACCAGGTAAGGCCGAGTTCTCTGAGATGCACGCAGGAGAGCTCTCCTCATGGCCGCGTCTCCGCAGGAGCTTCATGAGATGTGAGTGTGAGGCATCAGAGCCACCCAGAGGCTGTCCCAGGCTGTACAGGGGCCTCAGGTTCCATGTGGGTGTTGGGCCCAGGTCTGGGGGTTATTAGAGTCATCCTTCCAATCAATGCCAGAAAAGTTTCCATCCTTCATGCGTATCTGTGTCACACAGGATGAGGTGTAAGGTTCCTCACGTGGGCTGCTGCAGAGGCCTGGGCAAGCTTGCCTCGCTGTCCCAGATGGCAGGGGCTTTGCCAAGGGTCAGGGCATCCTGAGATGTCCCCAAGGGTTTGGGGAAGAAAAAGGATGGGAACCAGGCATGGTGGCCCATGTCTGTAGTCCCAGCACTGGCGAGGCCGAGGCAGGAGGATCACTGAGAGCTTCAAGCTGGCCTGGGCCAGAGTGAGAGCCTGATTCAAAAAAGAGAAAAACAAACAAGAGAGGCACTTTACCAGCAGGGCATGTGGGAACAGACTCTAGGGGCCTTCATGATCCCTATAAATGTTAGAATTCCAATCTTGCCATAAAAAATCATGCAAAATTTTGAATTTGACTTCATAAAGTACGTGTCTGATAATATAAAAATAGTTTTTAGAATTGCCACTGATGGGAGCCAAACACGTGGGCCAGCACCTGGCTGTTTTATGCACTCTGACACTCCCCAGGGAGATTCTGCGGCACCGTTACGTGGTGCGAGAGGATAGCAGCTCACTGGATTCTTCGTTTTGGTGTTTCGAGACAGGGTTGCGTTCTGCAGTTCAGGCTGTCCTTGACTCCCTTGGTAGCCCAGGCAGCTGTGCACCATGGAATGCACGGTGACATTCCCTGTCAGGGCCCCAGAGAAGTGCGTCAAGGCCTCCCATGACTGTCCTGTGGCCCAGGGTTTAGCACCCACAGTGGGGATGTCAAGGACTGGGCTGCCAAGTGGCTCGAGCTCAACTCAGAGGCCAAGTGTCGGGCCTGCTGCAGGCTGTCACCATGCACCCATGTGGCCCTGTGAAGCCCGAGGGCAGAGGTCATCTCAGCATCCCGGGAACAGGCCCTGAGACAGCGAGACAGCAGACACCTCAAACAAAAAGGGCCCTGAACTCACCACGTAGCCCAGGCTGGCCCCGAACTTGTGCTGATGCTCCTGCCTCAGTGTGCTGAGTGCTGGGCTTCCAGGTGTGCCCCGCAGGCCCAGGCTTCCGTGGTGTTTCACACCACATTTCGTCACGCATTCATCCGCTTGTGAACGCTCAGCGCAGCTCCTTAGTACCTTGGCTCTTGGGCATCGAGTTGTAGTGAACAGGAAACTGCTCATCCCTTCGCCTTCGGTCCCACTGGGTTTCTGCCCACAAGCAGCCTGCCGCATCTCTGGTACTTCCACGGTTAGCTTTTCTGAGAAGCCTCCAGAGCGTTTTTCTAAAGATGCTAGCAATTTACAGTCCCACAACAGTGTTTAAGAGTTTTCTTTTTTCTACCTCCTCGCTGCCACTTTACCTCTGGTGTTTTACAGAAGGCACTTAGCAGGTCCTGGGCGACGTCGCCTGTGGCCCTCCTTTGCACGTGCCTGGCGTTAGCCATGCCGAGCACGTCTTATCTACCTGTGGACCACGTGTGTGCCTTCTGTGAAGAATGTTTGTGCGGGTGCCGGGCCCAGTTTTCAATCCCGCTGGCTTCTCGCTCTTGCCTTGTTAGAGCTCCTTATTACTTTGGCTGCCGGCCTCTTCTCACACATGGGCTCTGCAGCGTCTTCTCCCATTCTGGGCTGTTCACTTCACCTTCAGAAATGTTGCGATTTGATACAATCTTGTCGTCCGGCTTTGTTCTTGCTTCCTGTGATTTGGGGGCTGTCGCCATAAAGAAATGTTGTCTGGATAGTATACAAGAACTTTTCTTCTGGTTTCTTTCGCTTTCTGTATTTTCCCCCCACCTTAAGCAACAGACTTCATCTGCAAAGTGTCAATGCATTTTGAGATGATTTTTGTGTGCAGTGCGAGAGAAGCTACAGGTTCGGTCCTTTCCATGTGGTTGGCCACTTTCCCGACGCCACTCACTGAAGATCCCACCTTGCCCTGTTGTGGGCCCAGGCACTGTCCCCCGACATCCGTTGCCTAACCGTGCGGCTTGGCTTCTGCACTCCCTACCCTGCTGCACTTGCCGATGAATGCGTCTTCATGCCAGGACTGTGCCGCTTGGATACAGTCACTGCATGGTGCCCAGGAAACCAGGGAGGCTGCTGCTCCCAGCTCTGCGCCTTTTGTTGGAGAAGGTTCTGGATGCTTGCGGCTGTTCGAGGCTACCTTGTGGAGCCATATGAGTGTCAAGATTTTTTATCTATATCTGTAAAAAATGACATCAGAAATTTGACCTCTCTCCCTCTTGCACTCTGTCTCTCTCTGTCTCTGTGTGTCTGACTGTGTCTCTGTCTGTCTGTCTGTCTGTCTGTCTGTCTCTCTCTCTCTCTCTCTCTCACACACACACACACACACACACACACACACACACACACACACAGAGAGGCTTGAGGTCTCACCATGTCCCCTATAAGACCCCCTTACTGTTAAGGTCACATGCAAACTAAAAGTGAAGGAATGGAAAAAGACATTCCTTCCAAATGCAAACCAAAAGAGGGTAGCTTCTTTCCATCAGAAAGAGACGAACCCTGGCCTTCATTTTAGTTTAACCCACTGAACCATTCTGTCTTTCATGTCCAGAAGACAAGCCCTTGCTACCGGCTGTTCACTGTGTCTTTCATGCTAGTTTTGTGGGTCATTTTCTTCTTTCTTTCTTGGTGCCTTCCTTCGTGTTTTGTTGGCTTTCGGCGGCGTATGCTTCAATTTTTTTTTTCATATTTTATACAATTACCATGACTTCATGCTTCATGTTTGCCGTGTCTTACATAAAAGTCATCCTTTGACAAACTGTTTTGAGCTAATAACAACTTTAACTACATATAGCAATTTCTTTCCCTCCAACTTTTTATTATTTTGATATCAAAATTTTTAGTTTTATAATTTGCATCATTTAACAATTTATTATAATTATGGTTGTTTTAATAGTTTTTTTAATCCTTAGTCATGAGGAAAAGTTATTTTACACAGCACTATTGTAGTATTAAAGCAACATAATATGACTTGCATTATTTATATCATTGATTTACTTTACTTTCACATTTTTCTGCTATTATCAGACTTTCATTTCAACTTCAAGAATTCCTTTCCATAGCTGTTATAAAGAAGGGCCAGCGAGGTAGCTCAGCAGACTAAGTGCCTGCTTAGGCAAGCGCAGGGACCGGGGTTCAGTCCCTGGCACTGTGTGCAGCACCTGTCCTGCCCCTGGGCGTGCTGATCCAGCCACGGAGACCAGGCCTGGTGGAGCACACCTGTAATCCCAGGGCTGGGGAGGCTGAAAACAGGAGAATCACCATGAGTCTGAGCTGCGTAGTGAGACCTTGTACCAAAAATATATTTTAAAAACCCAGAACTTAAAAAAAAAGTTAGGCCAGTGGTGATGAGTCCTCCTGGCTTTTGTTTATTTGTAAGTTATTCTTTTTCTCTCATTTCTGAGAGGCAGGTTTTCAAGGAAAGGTATTCTGTTTGGCAGATTTTTCTTCGGTACCTTGAATTTATCATCTTTTCTTTGCTCTTTCTCATTTTTTAAAATTTACTCTACTCTGCTGGGTAATTTTAAGTTCCCTAATCTGGTTCTTTCTTCTGCTTGATCTAGTCTACTATTAAAGCTTCCTAGTAGGTTTTAAAAGTTGTAATTGTGTTCTTTATCTCTAGGATTTCAGTTTGTCTTGTAAAAATGTTTCCATTTTTTCAGACTTCTGAATTGTCCTCAAAATGTTTCTGATTTGCACCTGTATTTTCTTACAGTTCCCTGAAGTTCTTCTTCTTTTTTTTTTAATTATATGTATTTGGTACAGGGTCTCACTACACAGCTTGGACTCATGGTGATCCTCCTTTTTTCAGCTGCACACCTGGGGAGAGGGCCCCCGCTTCTAGCATGTGCAAGTGTTCCTTGGTGGGGGCTGATCTCTTACACAGCCTAAGGTGGGCTAGCTGGCAGCAACCCCTGATGTCTTATTCATTTCTGAGCACTAAAACACAATCCTGGACACCTGCAAATCAAAGAAGAGCCTGGCTTTGGCTCATATTTGTAGAGGTTCCAGTCTACAATCTTCCAGCTCCAAAATAGGATAGCACAGACAGAGTGGTATTGCGGGGAGAAAACTGATTACCTTACAGCAGCTAGGAAGAGAAGAGGAGGGGAAAGGAACTAAACCTTCCAGACCACACCCCCAAGCACCTGCCTCTTCCAGCCAAGCCACGCCTCCCAACACCAGGCCACGCCTCCCAGCACCAGGCCACGCCTCCCAACACCAGGCCACGCCTCCCAACACCAG